GACTACAGGCACGCACCATCATGCCCAGCTAATTTTTGTATTTTTAGTAGAGACGAGGTTTCACCTTGTTGACCAGGATGGTCTCAATCTCTTGACCTTGTGATCCACCCGCCTCGGCCTCCCAAAGTGCTGGGATTATAGGCGTGAGCCACCGCGCCCAGCCATGGGGTATCACTATTAACCTCATAGGGTTATGGTAAGGATTAAATAAAATAATATCTGAGACACACAATGGAGGCATTTAATAATTGCTAGTTCTAGCTTGCCTTTATGAGCCCTTCCAGTTCTAAAACTACATGGTTCTAACCAAGAAAATGTGATTCCAGGCTCTTTCCTTGAATTTGTAGATGTTACTCATCAGCACAAGACTGCATAAGGGAATTCCTTTTACATGGAAAGATCTGTATATTGTAATAATTCATTTTAGAAAATGCATATTTCATCGCACTGCCTGTGATTTCCCCAAAACCTATTTATTAAACCTGTGAATTTAGACTGATGCCACATGAAAAATACCTAAGATATATTTTTTCTCTATCTCTCCAGAGAACTCGCCAAGTATTTCATAGCAAGCCATTTGAACCACTTTTGTCATTTTCTGCAGATCTTTATATTCTTGATACAACATCTTATTTCGGCCAATGTTAAAATCGAGGACTCCCAGAGCCTCTCCTGTTCTCTCACGAAGTGGAACTGCTATGTGGGTTTCTCCACAGGCGGAGGCCACTACGACTTCTGAACTGTCTGTACATTTGAAGAGGAAATCTCTGAAACCAGAACCAAATAAGCACAAGGATGTTAAATATCTGCCTGTTCACATAGTTCCACCCAAACATATTGAATTACTCCCTTTTGTGCCTACCTCACTTCCACCACCCCAGCCCTTCTTACTGTTTCATCTGCCTGAAAAGAATTCTAGCCCTTGATTTCATGTGCCTGTCAGTCTGCTCACTCACGTCTCTGCTTAAACATCCCTCTCAGCAGAGAAGCCTTTCCTGACCACCCAATCTCAAGTAGTAAGCAGCTCCCAAGCCACTCTCCATCATGATACTCTGCTTCGTTGTTTTTACTTATCTGAAGATGTTCATTTTTTGTTTGTTTGTTTACTTATTGTCCATTATGCTTTGGTTGAATGCCAGCAGAAATGATGAGTGTGTTAGGTCGGGTTCCCGAGAAGCAGAGCCTGAGACAGGGATGCTTATGCAGGTGATTTATTGAGCGAGTGTTCGCTGGAGAAATCTGTGAGAGGGACTGAGGGAAGCAGGATACAGAAGGGAGAGAAGCTAAGTAAGAATGTAATTTCACATGAAGTCTAGCCTCCGCCTCATTCCAAGGGGAGCTCTGGAAGGTCAAGTGTACCAAAGAATCTGTCCCACCTTGAGGCAAAGGGAGGGGTCTTTTGTATCCTAGCACTAGTGAGTCATTGGCTGTAAGCTGCTCTGGGTGTGTGTGGGCAGTTTGGGTTGGGGGAGTGTTTACACAGCTCTTAGGTGAAGGGCTCTAATCGCTCAAGGGCACTCCTCCAGAGAAAGTTATGGTGTGAGCCATTACTTGCAGCAGTGCCTACAGCAGCTGGTAAAAAGCATTTTGGGGATCTGGGTAGAGCATCTACAGCATCTGCCTCGGTGAGAGACTTGAGATTTTCATGGAAATGTAGTGGCTGCTTCTTTCTCTTGGTGAGGCACAGACACACCTCTTTTTCTTTCTTTTCCCTTTCCCCATCTACATTAATTTTGATATGCCATTTCTTTAAGGTATTTGTAAAAAATTGGTACTTTGCATAGCCTCAAAAACACATTTATAGTTTGTAATATCAATCCCACAGCCACAGTTAAGATTATGTCCTTCTTCTGCCATCCCCGCCCCTTGCTGCTGCTGATCCACCACTTTGTGTTGTGTCTTGATGATTGCCTTAGTAATAATGCATCATACTAAGCTTTCCAGGCACAACAATAGAGCCTGATGGTCAACTGACTTCCTCTAAAGACATCTGCTGTAAGTTATACACAAGAATCCAGGGCTATGAGTATTACAAGGATTTCTATAAAATTCTTGACTAGCACAAGGAATAACTATGTGGAAAAGGGCTTGAGATTGAACGAACATTCTGGTATGAGGCCAAACTAAAATTTAATTAACATATGTAATTAAATGTTGAATTAGCCTACTAGTCTGAGATTACTGGGTTACTGCCTTCTCAACGAAATTCACCCCCAAAAAAGCAGTCATTCCCTTTTGCAATAGGTGTGTTCTTAGTTAAGACGTTTTACATTTGTACACAGTTCAGTAGTGTTCCTTGCATTTGACAGGTAAGAGTCATTCTAAGTAATTTAGAATTAACTACTTATTAGATACAACATGCTGTGCCTTCTCTCCAACTCTGCCCCTGCATGTCTGCTTTAAATAAAAAATACACATTTACAGACCTACTAACATTAAAAAATGAGCTCTGATGAGTGATGTGAATGTATTCTTTATAATTATGGTGGGTTTTTGTTGAATTCCATATTTACCAGGAAATTCATGGAAAATAAAACACTTTCATGCTTTAATACATGCAATTTTAAAAAGGACTTGGGGAAGGCTGGGCACCATAAAGAGACCCTGTCCCTAAAAAAA